AGAGGCGGGCGCGGGCAGGAGGTTCGGAGTCGGGTGCCGCCATATTGATCGGTAGGAAAGTGTATTTGCGCCTAAAATGCTAAATAAATACGAAATCTATTTACTACCAAAGTCTTAATGTTTGTATACTCTCTTTCACCTATTAGTATTATCGCAGTGGCTCTGCGTCCGGAACCGGTCGCCTAGCCTCCAGGCTACACATCCGGACATCCACTCACACAGTGTTCGCGTGACTCGCGTACACGCATGATTGCGCAACGGAACGCTCTGCTGATTGCCGAAAATATACAATATATGCACTGCTGCCGTCTATCCTTTCATCCGTCCTCTCTCACGCTCTCTCTCTCTTTCACACACACGCACAGCTCTATCTCTCTCACACAAATCTAGCTCTCTCTCTCTGTCTCTCTCTTTCTCTCTCTCACACACACGTGTGCGTGCGCACGCACACACCTCTAGCTCTCTCTCTCACGCATACACACACATACACATTCCCTCTCTCTCTGTCTCACGCGCACACACACACTCGGCAGTCAGCATAGCATACCGTTGCGCAATCATGCGTGTACGTGTCGCAAGATCACTGTGTGAGATGGATGTCCGGACGCGTAGCCTAGCGGCTCCTCGTTCGGAACCTGTCGCGTAGCCACGGCCTAGTATTATTGCTGACAATTTCCTGTGAAATTTATGCCGTCCAAATGCTCATCTGCAAAATAACGCTGGCTGCCGCTGCACACTGACACATAAATATATAGCAGGTAGGAAAGCGAGCTGCCAAAATTTGCTTGACGCTCGCTTGATTTCACACGAATACAACACAAATATTCCACCATTCTACTCCATATTTGTTTCTATTTGAAGGACAGTGTTCAATTGTTATAAAAACATACTGTCTGTGTTCGTAACCGAGCTGTGTCACGCGAAATCACACAAAGCCTGACGAAATTCTCGCGTTTGCTCTCGTTGTGCAGTTTATGTAAATGGTTGTCAGAACCAGGAAACACCCACCGGCGCTCTTCGTGACCTCATTTTTGTGCCGCAACGCTGCAACGTTTTTGCAACGCTCCACTGGCGGCTTTGACGAGGCCTGTACGGGAGTTGGAAAGCAGCGTGGTAGTTTTCCAAAATGCAGTGCGCCGCCTATAGCCCTGTACTTGCATTCGTCAAAGCTGATTTTGCAAAGCTTATTTCGTCAAGCTTTGTGTGATTTCGCGTGACACAGCTCGGTTACGAACACAGACAGTATGTTTTTATAACAAGTGAACACTGTTCTTCAAATAGAAACAAAGATGGAGTAGAATGGTTGAATATTTGTGTTGTATTTGTGTGAAGTCAAGCGAGCGTCGAGCAAATTTTGGCAGCACGCTTTCCTACCTGCTATATATTTATGTGTCAGTGTGCAGCGGCAGCCAGCGTTTGTTGCAGATGAGCATTTGGACGGCATCTGCAGGAAATTCTCGGCAATAATAGGTGAAAGAGAGTATAGAAACATTAAGACTTTAGTAAGTAAATAGATTTCGTATTTATTTAGCATTATATTTTATTGAAACGCTCCAAGTGCCTGTGAGTGTAGACTGTAGCCCCACGGCACATGCTGGCACCTGGAACGTTTCAATAATAAAATGATGGTAATTAAACACGAAACGTATTTATTACAAAAAAATAAATGTAGTTCAGACACCGGATTAGTTTAGCACATTTGTGAAAATTGAGGGCCGGGGTCCCAAACTAGTAGTAGGAGTGTGCACACACAATTTCACTGCACGCACGCCACTGTGCACAAACTCGCAGAAAGATGGAGCAGGTGGGAAAGTGTAAGCTCAAAATTTGCATAATGCTCGCATTGTTTTATACCGTGAATGATAGCAAAAATACACAAACAACCACCTCCTAAATTTCTGGTATCAATCCATAGGTGACTGTGTAGTTTTTCGAATTACACACTTTGCCTAGAGAAATCTGGTAAATTCCTGCCGAAAACTCCCACCCCATGTCAATGTAAATGGGAGAAAGTGCCTGGTTATTATTCAAAACTCCCTAACTGCGCTACTTGATTGTTTCACCAAGAAACATAGTTGTGTGTGTGATGTCATTTCTGCACGAATTATGTTGGCTTGCCTTGGAGTGGCGGGCCTCGTCATGGAGCTCGGAAATAGGCAAAGTTTGAACCCATAATGCAATGCGTCGCCTTTACTCATGTATAAAGATAGAGTTGCTCCTATTTATATTGCCCTGAAGTTGGACTTTTCCTCAGGAATACACTTGATTTCTTAGGGTCAATTAAGTTCTATCTAAATGTAAGGCGATAATTTGGACAAGTGATCATTCGGCTATGCATAAATACCAGAAAAGAGTGTCGTTTGTGTATTTCTGATGTGATGGTGTGAAACAAAGCGAGCCTTGTCCGAATATGGTGCTCACGCATTCCCACCTGCTCTATATTTCTGTGAATTAGCATGTTTATTTACCATAATTTTATTATTGAAATTTGTTGAGTGCCTGTGTGTAGACCCTTCACTTCCACTACAAGATTCTGTGAACAACAGTGCTGGGATACAGCTGTGAATATGTGCAACATATCAGGCAAAGCTGTACCCCATGATACAATAGGCAGTTAGTGTGTTAGATCCTGCATACAACCTGCCTCATAAACTACACCACTTGTTGACCTCTCACAAACTTAATTTTTTGCAGAAGTGGCAGGGCTTTAATGTAAGAGTAAAAAAGTGGTGTGAAATGGATTAACTTTAACTGGGCTTTAACTAAAATGTACTTATCGTTCGGGTAAATAACAGTTAGGTATAGATATAACTGCACTTCTGTAATAATAGCCCTCGGTATGTAACGTGCAAAATAAATTGACAGAAGCGCAACTTTGTCAGGGTGGCAGCACAATTGCATGGTGTCATGGCAGCGGTCAAAAATTTCGAAAACTCAGTTGTTTTATGACGAATGTGAATTGCGTGATTATAGCAAAACTGTATGTGTATACTATTACTATTATTTATGCACTTACTAATACTATTATAACATAATCTAAAATTCTAGGGTATGGTACCGTATCCCTTTAAAGGCTAAAACGAATAAATGATTAAATTTACAGCACGGCTTGCGATGAAAGACAGGAAGAATCCTTCAGTTATCGAGTACCAAGACTTGGCTGCGGTAGTGAACGAGTTAGAGGCGATGGAGTTTCTGCGTGACATTGTGCCGAGGAAAATCACTGGACGAGAATATTGGGAAATCATGAAAGAGGATGGTGATAATTCGGATAACTCGTGTTGAAAGTAACATTTTGAGGACTTGATCTCTTTTACACGCGAGTACGGATAGACGATTGAAAATTTCCTATATTTAGGTGAATCCACGCTGAAAGGATGTGGTTGGACTCTGGTTGCATTTTGTAAGATTCTGTTCAATGTAAAATATGTAACTTGTTACTGTCAAGTAATCAGCAGATAATATGAGTAAATATATACACAAACTGACCTTACTTCTCTTTGATTAGCCTGATAGTGATAGACTTGTAAATTAAATGTGGCCTAAAGTAAGGTTTCTGAGTACTAAGTAATTTCTATGATTTATTGAACTATTAAATGTTTAGTATGAAAAAATTCAAACATAAGCAAATAAGTTAAGTGTGTGATATCTTGTAGATCAGAGCCTCATGACACATATACACTAAGTGCCTTCAGTAACACTCTTCAGTCTTGCTATGGTCTTGCATATATGTAAATGTATACTTCAATTCATACTGTATTATACTCACTGGATCATTGAGAGAAAATGAATAGTAATTATCTACTCGATGTTTGGAATTTGTTGTTTTTGCAAGAAAGTATTATTAAAACACATTTTTTTTGTAAATACAATATTCATTTATATTGCCTTAATGAGATAAAGTTCAGAGTTCTCTCCTGGAATTTCGAAAGGAATGTTGGGCAATTAATCCCTGATTGGTAATTGGAGTCAATTACACGTGTTGTAAGTGGCCTCAATATACAGGTAAACACGAACAGTTCAGAGATGTGCACATTAAGCTGTGACAACACAGCATGTCTGTGTTGAGATTGGCAAAAGAAAAGACAAGAAGAGTGAAGAGTAAGTCAAATTAAGCATGTAGGAGGATTTATGGGATATTGTAAATTGGCTTCAGCATTGTTGAAGACATGGGGATAACCCTACCACCAGGAAGACAGCAAGACGTCTGTAATGCACAAAAACTTGAAAGAGGTATTGCATTGATATGTAATTCGTGGTAAACATTCAATGTTTTTTAATATTACATTATAAATGCATGTCGTACAAAAATGATGTACATGGCCAATAGAACCGATTCTTGTGTCAAGGTCAAATGCAAAGATAACTATAAAACAATTAACTAAACTTTACATAAAACCATTTCTGACTTCTAGGACTTTTAGCACTTTTTCCCAGATAAATAGATATAGCACATCTATGACTACATGAGATTCAGCAGTTTTGCAACAAAAAATGTGTTACAAAACTGAGCAAGTATTGATAAGTGCTAATAGGACGGATTGATATGAAATATTACATTGAACAATGTGAAATCAAAAAACGTTCATGGTTATATAATAATATACAAACACACTCATATATATATGCAATGTACTTTTTGAAATGTTGTCATGATAAGGATTCTCTAATGAAAAGTTGGAATGCTATGTACACATTTTTCAAGAATTGTATAAAATTGTGTTTACTGCTGCTACCTTTGCTTAGCAAACTCAGATTTAATCCAATCCGATTCCTCGTAAAATTTGGGGTCGGAAAGTTTCAGAGATGTCCGCTTGTAGAAGTAATAGTGGAAAGCAGCACCTATAGAAAAGACAACAAAAACTTACATTGTGTCAAGTGTCCTAACAGGCATCGGCTTTACGTAAACCAATACACCCAACACCGAGGGATTGATGGATAAAAACAGAACCTATTAGACCTTGGTATTAGCCTCCTTAGATGTGTCTACGTAGGCTCAAAGGGTTCAAAACCTTACACGTAATAATTCTTACGTAGTTATCAGGTTTGTCTATATTTACCAGTTCTTTGTATTATGTAGAGAGTATGATAACCAGCAGTCCAAATATAAGTATTTGTGTCTGTCCATCGCAGCGTCTGTAAATAGTACAATAAAACAAATAGAGTGGTTTAGTAAATGAGTTCTCATGTATTTTTCAAGTTTCAAGGCAACTTTCAGTGTGAAATATGGTTTTGCTGTGTGTGCCTTGTTCGCTAAAACCTCAAATGTACATGCTTTTTTGTATGGATTTTTACATGATCTTACTCCTAATATTTTAATACTGCATCTGTTATACATTGTGCTATGTGAAGACCTATAAAATACAACAGCCCCATCTACAGTACAGTAATACTCCTCTCCCACTCCATTACGACAACACGGGTTACATATATCCACCCATATGTAATTTGTAAATTATGACCATTCGTTAACGTAATGTGGAGTATTACTGCCATATTATTTATTACCATTGTCCAGATATGCAGTGATATCGATAGACCTAAATAGATGAATGCAGTGATGATTGTTGTCTTGAACTTGCGAATAAGCACGTGGATCAGTCCTGCTTGGAAGACGTATGTGGTGAAGAACATTAAAAACGTCACAATGATCGCAAAAATAAGACACATGTCTTGGATCCTGAAATGAGATGCACAACATTTACAGTGCACAGACACATGCACGCACGTACACAATAATAGCACAATAATGTGCAAATACCAATTGGGTTGATCTTCAGCTGTTTTTAACAGCGAGAGAGGGCGAGAGAGAGAGAGAGAGAGAGAGAGAGAGAGAGATGTAGACACAACTATGTTTACTTTACTTATAAAAGAACTTATCGTATACACATTCAAGCAAGCATGTATTAATGCAGGCCAGATCTCACAAAGCATATATCAGAGAGCAAAGGGCAGAGGCAATGAGATTTAAATAACTTCATATCTGTATAGATAAAACAGAAAGTTGCCTAACGGTCGAATACCAAGGAATTCAACGTTTATTCTTTGTTCTAAGAAAAGGTATGGGGCATAGACATAAACATTCACATGTACAATGCACACAGCCAGCCTATAGAGGGTTCCGTGATTTCCATATTACCCACAATGCAACGCCGCCGGCCATAACGATTACAGAAACCAGCTCAGGCATGGTACAAGTACATTGAGCAACGCACTGTTCTCTGCTCATTTTATTCGCCTATTAAGCAAATCCATCACAACGCCGCTCTCCTGTGGTGTTGTCAACTGCAGCAATCTGTATCAGAGAGAGCCACACAGCTTTTTTAGGCTGCCTAGCATGATCACAACACATGGTAAAGTGACGAGAGACAAGGCGGACCACAGACGCTTGGAGCATTTTCAATACAAAAGCAATGCTGAATAAACACGAAATGTATTTACTACCAATGTCTTAATGTTTCTCTACTCTCATTCGCCTAGTATTGCCGATAATTACCTGTAAATGCCGGTCAAATGCTCCTCTGCAACACACAGGTACACCGCACGCACGGCACACACCGCTACAGATTTACACTTGTATACATATATCGCCGGCATCCAGTAGGCAGCTGTTTGAGTGGGGGTGGTGATTTCTCTTGCACGTGCAGCATACTCTACATAAAATAGCACCGAGGCAACATGTGAACAGAATTCACCAAGCCTGGCTTTACAATTACAGTGTGCTGTCATGATGCCTGTCCCATTTATCTCACCGTGACCCATGCACGGATAGAGAGATGGTATAATCAGAGACTGGGAGTGGGAGTGCATAACACGTGCTCGGATAACGTAGATGGGACTCTCACTGTTCACATGATAGATGTAGACTGATACACCACTAACCCAACCGCAGAACAGTCGATCGTAGGCATGCAGGCTTTTGTGGTTCTGAAAGTCCTTGAGAGTATAAAATGGACTCGGCTAGAATGTTAGGTAGTCAATTAACGAGATCCTAATAAGTACATGATGAGCACAAGTTGTGGTCCTCGCTCCATTCTCGTACAGGTATGCACGCAATTTTCTCGAGATAGCGTGCTTTGGCTACGTTGTCTAGTGAATCAAAGTGCTTGTCCATACTACGTACACTTCAGACAGTTGGCAAATGTGCATACACCAGATATTATAAAAAGCTGCGTTTGATAGCTGTATGCAGTAAAATCGGTGAAATTTCTGAACACTCGCGATGTAAACAAACTCAAGTCCATGATGATGATGATATGTGTTGCGTGCAATCTCCCGATCTGCTCAATCTAGCAATCCGCGGACTGTGCAGCAACCTCATCGAACTCTCGTAGCATCCCAACCCACGCTAATAAACCTGCATGCAAAATCCTGCAAAACCGGACCTGCGTAATCTCATTGAACTCTAGCAGATTAGCACCCCAACCCACGCTGATAAACCTGCCTGCAACACCCTGTAAAACCGGGTCTGCACAATCATATAGAAGTCTAGCACCCCAACATTATGCGCTGGTAAACCTGTCTGCAAAACCGGGATCCACTTACTGCTAATATAGATTACTATAATAACACTATCGTATGTACAATCTATCGAGGTAAAATCGGTAGATTGCGCATATCGGTAACACATGTTCCCTCTTTTTGGAACCTAGTCCGGGCATTTCGTGAAAAAAATGGCGTCAACCTCAGACAAATTGCAACAGAAAGTCTGTCAACTGTTTTATACCCAGAAATATGTCCTCTATAACATATAAAAACTCGTAAGGAATCCTGGTGGTGGAAGGTTCCATGGTGGCCATTTTTCAAAATGGCCACCATACAACTGATATTTCCCTATATCTCCGCTTCTAAATAACATAGAGCTTTGATTTTAAGTGCTAAACATACATTTTCAGGGACAAGGAATCCTAAGACACATTTCAATAAGCTAAACCTGACCAAAAAGCCGAAATGGCAGCCAAAACCAGATGTCATGGTGCCTGTCACACAACGTGCATCTATTCCACATTCAAGTTCGTGTGTGAGCATGCTCGTCGCCATGGTGTTACACGCATCATCACCTTTGACCAACCACTATGGTGGAAAGCCCTCATGATCATCGAGACTGAGCCCACAAGAAGTGTCTTGAATGACATAGTCTTGCGCCTGGGGGCTTTCACACAGAAATGAGTTTCTTGGTAAGCATCGGGCACCTCATGGCTGGATCAGGACTGCAGGAAGTCTTGGAGCTAATCTATGCAGACAACGCGGTGGTACACATGATGACAGGCAAGGCTATTGCACGAGCAGTACGAGGACATCTCCTTGTTGATGCAGCACTGAATGCCTTGATTTTGTCAGACGTACTTGGTGTGCCACTCCCTCAACCATCTGCAGAGCCACATGAAGTGGAGGAGACCAATGAGGCAACAGTGTCACCAGATGATGAGCCTACGACAGACGGAACTGGAAACACTGATCTTGATGAACTTGCTGCCCTCTACAAGAACCTGATAGAAGGTTCCGTGTCTGCAGAGGAGTTCTGCTAAGATGATGTGTTAACCAGGACCAAGGAGCTCCTCAGGGCCAAAACCGAATTCTTGAAGTCCTCTATGACTACCACATTTT